ATGTACGGTTCAACCATATAATGTACGGTTTTGTTGTAAACAATGTCTTGTTAACAACCATATAGATGTACCGTTTTGTTGTAAACAATGTCTTGTTAACAACCATCTAGATGTACAGTTTTGTTGTAAACAATGTCTTGTTAACAACCATCTAGATGTACTGTTTTGTACATCTAGATGTACATCATCTCCATCATTTTGAGTTTCAGCAAACAATCCAAAATGTAGTGTATTTTATTTTGAAGTCAACCAGAAAAATGAGAACATTTAAAAGAGAATCAGAAATATCATAAAATAATCAAAATAAAACACAAATATTTAAGTTAATGTATTTGACTTGTTTCTTGTTGAATAATTACCGAGATAATAACAGGAAATTTTAAGTATTAGCGAACTGACATTATTAAAAATATTGTTTCATCTCACCTTCACTAGTATATACCGTCCGTTTTTTTCTTTCATCAGAAGTAACGTGGCATTTCTTATTCCCGTGTTTCTAGGAAACAGGATGGAGTTTTCATTGGCCAGATCGGGTTTATAATTAGAATTTGGTTTTCCTAACGTAACAAGTAATGCGTGAACCGTGTTGAACTTCTGCGGCTTCCCCTTCTTGCCCCACGGCATGTCTGTCATTGGATAGAACTGTAGTCTACCGGCCATTACGAAACGGACCTCATCTCGATTCCAGTTGAGTACTTCTAACGCCATCTATTAGGAAACCATTGACTTACATTAAAAAAACAAGGCCCATACCATGACCACTTAAGGAGAGCATTCTCTAGTAAACAGATCTTCGTATCACACTAGGTAGGTCATTGAAACATTAGGTCCTTAGGTGGGAGCAAAAACGTCTCTTAATATTCCTTGTTTGACATATCTTACAAACCCTATTTCAGTGTTTCAACGTTTGTTTTACGAGCGATTAAAATCAAGTAGCTAAAGCTAATGAGTCACTAAGTACAGATTCATAAACCAAGAATATTTTATTCGTCATCCAGAAATGTTTTCGGGGGAATTAACCCTTTATGAATTTGTAGTCAAATTCTGTAAACATTTACAATTATCTGGATTATTTCAAGGATGTTTCAACGTTCGAACCAACTGATTCGAAACCCAGATATAAACAGTTTACCTCGTTCCCCAAACTTTCTGGTTCATCTAAGCTCAAGCCAGTTATTAGTAGCTTACCATGCTCCCTAAACTTTCTGGTTCATATAAGTTCAAACCAATTATCACCAGTTTACCATGTTCCCAAACTTTCTGGTTCGTGTAAGTTCAAGCCAATTATCACCTGTTTACCATGTTCCCAAACTTTCTGGTTCGTGTAAGCTCAAGCCAGATATTAACAGTTTACCTCGTTCCCCAAACTTTCTGGTTCATCTAAGCTTAAGCCAGATATTAATATCTTACCATGCTCCCTAAACGTTCTGGTAGAATCAACTGGTAACAACATAAACAGATGGGCGAAGAATCAACTGGTAACAACATAAACAGATGGGCGAAGAATCAACTGGTAACAACATAAACAGATGGGCGAAGAATCAACTGGTAACAACATAAACAGATGGGCGAAGCATCAATTGGTAACAACATAAACAGATGGGCGAAGAATCAATTGGTAACAACATAAACAGATGGGCGAAGAATCAACTGGTAACAACATAAACAGATGGGCGAAGAATCAACTGGTAACAACATAAACAGGTGGGTGAAAAATTAATTGGTATCAACATAAACAGATGGGCGAGGAATCAACTGGTAACAACATAAACAGGTGGGTGAAAAATTAATTGGTATCAACATAAACAGGTGAACGTAGAATCAAGTGGTAACAACATCAACAGGTGGACGTAGAATCATGTGGTAACAACATAAACAGATGGAACAATAATCGTGTGGTAACATAAACAAATGGGCGAACAATTAATTGATAACAACACAAACAGATGGACGAACTGTGATGTGGTAACAACATAAACAGATGGACGAGCTATGAAGTGATAACAACATAAACAGATGGGCGAACAATTAATTGATAACAACACAAACAGATGGACGAACTGTGATGTGGTAACAACATAAACAGATGGGCGAACAATCAATTGATAACAACATAAACAGATGGACGAACTATGAAGTGATAACAACATAAACAGATGGACGAACTATGAAGTGATAACAACATAAACAGATGGGCGAACAATCAATTGATAACAACATAAACAGATGGACGAGCTATGAAGTGATAACAACATAAACAGATGGGCGAACAATCAATTGATAACAACATAAACAGATGGACGAACTGTGATGTGATAACAACATAAACAGATGGGCAAATGAAGCATAGATATTTTTAATACCGGATGACAAATATCGCAAGTGATTAACAAGTTTGGTAAATGATTAAATACGTTAGCCGAAGTAATGGAAACACGCTGTGCTCGACTGACAAACTGAATGTCGATGTTTTTATTATCATGCTCAGCGCGTAGTTTACTAAGTATTCCGATTAAACATCGAATTTTTGACAATCCTCACCTTTCTAAGTTTGATGCTACCGATGTCGTCTCCGTTTGAAAGTCGGCGATTTGAAGCAGATATGTTAGATATCCTTCTCCATATCCTGGTTTCGCTCACTCCTTTGGTTTGCTGTTTAAATAATAAAAAAAAACTCATTTTAGACTTCATATTCATATCAAGTTATAACACTACATAACTAAAAACTGTAACGTTCTTCATTAGTTTCATCCCCCTATTTCTCTTCGCTCTCTGATAAAAGAAAATTTATGTATAATGTTGAGTTCCATCAGAATTTCTCTCAAATATCTCCAACAGATCATGAATTCGCTTACACGGAACGTCTTGTGAATAATGGAGTATTCTTCTAGCAGTTGTGATGTATGTCCATGTACAGCATTGAAAAACTGGTTTTCAATATCTTTACTGTACTATTACAACCCTAAGATAATATCTTGGAATACGCCGAGCAATCCTTTTAAGTTATCAATAAGAGTGTTCAGTTCGTCTCATAGTCTGGGGGATGTCGGGCTAAATCTGATGTATTTATACAAACATTCTGAAGTCAGGAAACACCCAATATTAGTAACAGCCCGTACTGGGTGTGTTGCCCATCACGGAAGTGAGATTTGGGTGAACGTACGCAGTTTACAGCTATACTTGTAACCGTGGGAGAAGCCCCACGAAGTAGAAATGTGGGCGCTACCAGCAGCCAGCGTCGCGATATCGGTTGTTTCTCCTTTCAGAGTGGTGGTTGAGAACAAACCAATTCGGTACAGGTAGAAGGCTTCAGAAGTTCTTTGATAATTCAATCTAAAACTGTTGCAGAACTACGATACCCAGAGCCATCTGGCGTTAGGTAGAATAAGCAAGACGATTATTTTTTCTTTTCTTCTGTAACTAAAAGAAAACGATTTGTAATGTTCTTTAGAACTTCTGTAGTGTTAATTTAGATTGAGTACAGTAAAAATCTTATAGTTATATATATATATAGAACTTCTGTAGTGTTAATTTAGATTGAGTACAGTAAAAATCTTAGTTATATATATATATGTATATATAGAACTTCTGTAGTGTTAATTTAGATTGAGTACAGTAAAAATCGTTATAGTTATATATATAAGAACTTCTGTAGTGTTAATTTAGATTGAGTACAGTAAAAATCTTAGTTATATATATACAGAACTTCTGTAGTGTTAATTTAG